TGAGAACAAAGTCAATGAAGAGTCTCCCAAAATCCCTTTCGATGAGCACTTAAAATGCATGAACCTCTTCCTCTGATCACATCGCGAAACGAGAGATGATCTTTTATTAGCATTCCTTATTTTTAATAGCGATTTGAGTGGAAACATGTCTTACTTTCGAAATCAGCTTAATATTTGGCTTTTTCAGTTTCTCACATCAAGGCCTAACCTTCTATGCCACCCATTTTTACCCATTACTATCCGTTTTTAGTGCACCGTTCTTTATTTTACGGTTGTAGACATTTGCTGAGATCTATAAAACAATTTTCGACACTATAGTCATGAAGAATCCATACAGGCCACCCGGACGCAATTTCACTGTTACCTCTGGCATACAGTGGGACAATTGCAAAAGTTGTTTCAACGAAGCGTGCACATATTTTACAGTAATTAATCAAAACAGACATAGTTAGTCGGATTGTAGATGTGTATGTGGCACGTGCAACACGAATGCTGAGGTTTTGCTGAGCAACGTCATCATTTTTTTAACGGATCCACGGAAAAACTTGTTAGCAGACTTGAAAAAAGGTGGTACTAAGACGGGTTAACAAACAAAGACGAACAGTGAATACAAGAAGAGGGACCTCGACAACGCTGTTATTGACGGAGCATGTAACGACACTAGTGTGGACATGCTGAAGCACAGCGCCGTCATAACATTGAAGGTACAAGACTCCCTCAGCAAACTGTGGTCTACTAGCACTCAATCCCTGAACGCAATCGCGGTTCCCAAAAACTGTGTAGATAGTTGGACACCAGTCAACAAAGCTAAAATGGATTGTCACCGTATTAAAAGCTGAACATCCCAAGTATTGTGGTCAGATCAACTGATTCGGACGACAGTCTACCCACGAAATGTCCAATCGGTCAGCATAGAGCACGGTAATCTGAAACGCGCTTCAAACACCAAAAACCAAGGGCCTCAATCGAAACGTACCGGAAAACCCTGGAAAACAATCACGGTTCATGATGATTCTCTCAAAGTCTTGAATCTTAATAACAGCTCTGACCTTCCCCTAAGTTTGCAGTGTAGAAACGACAGAATGCTCTGGGAAAAGTTAGACGAGAAGCTCGAACTTCCTAAAATAGAGCTTTTGACGGTCACACGGCTCACTCAGGGATAGAACGTTAAGCATCAAAATCACCCAAGACTACTTCGTGTAACAGTCGCTAACGCTTTCGACGTAGAAGGTATCCTACTGACTAGTCACTCACTGAAACCAGATAGGAATGTAAGAATACTGCCTGATATGCCGTATTCTGAGCGCAATCTCATCAGAAATATCTCATGAGAAGTCTTTCCGCCAAAGAAATATCACTGTAGAAAGTGTACAGGAAAACACGGACCCTGATGCTTGGGAGTGTAAATTCATCAAGCAGTCCTTGAAGCTCAAAAGCACAGTTACTCAACAAGTGGTGAGATTAGCCAATAAGGAAGGGGATCCAAGACACTGGCTAGTGAAGTTAAGCTTACCATCCTCCCATATGGCGGCTGAAACTCTAGAATTATTTCGTTCCAACGGACGCAGTTTTTCATATAGAATCCATATGCATTCGCATAGGCCACACAATACACAAAAGCAATTTAGAGCTGATCACTCCACTTGTGAACTGTCTAGACCATAAAAAACAAGTGGAAAGGACAAGGGCTACCAACTCGGAAGACCATGTGTAGGTAGGTCGCCTGTCCATTCACATAAAGCTCATACAGATAAACAGGAAATTGAAAGTATAAACTGCTATACATGAACGACGCGAGTTTACCAACTGAAATGAATGAGCTGCGTAAACTCAATAATGCAAATAACGCTCATCTGATAAAATTATCTGAAATTCGGATATCTTCTCAGTTAACGGACCAAGAGCTATCAATATCCGGGAGGTTTCTGTTCCGCAATGGCGGAAAAACAGGAATTGCCTGGAGGCACATCGAGTGCACAACCAAGAGTTTGTCAATCTTGATGAATCTGTATGGTGCTCAGTAAGATTGTCTACCACCTTTATATGCCCAGTTGAAGTCATCTTCAGGAAGCACACTACTGACATCGAATTTGACAATCATATGTTGTGGGGAAATCTCGCTCTACGCGTCTCGGATTCACTCATATCCTGATTCTCGGGGATTTCAATTTTCTTAAAGTCAAGCACTCTGAACATACGTACAATGAAGTTGAAAATTCTACTGACGATCGGTTCTGAAACCTCATTGAAGATTTGTGATTATTCGAAAATGTGAAGTCGGCAACTCGTTGGAGAAAGAGTCAGACGCCATCGCGCTTATGCTGCATATTTACAAACGACGAATCCATAATTGATAAGCACTCAATCATTGTTCCCCTAGGAAAAAGTGATCACGCCGTCATAGCCTTCAGTTTTGTCAGCAGAACTGAGCTAAGACATCCTACCAAAAGCAGGTGTTGGATGTGTCAGCTTCACAGGACAATCTACAGCAGGTGGATTGGGATGTTCACCTTCAAATTGATGTAGATGCTCATTCGGATTTCTTTCTGCACACGATCTTATATGTTACATGGCACTCTGTTCCTCAAACAGTTTTTAAAATCTACAAGTAACCTGTAGTCATCAAGAACCGCACTCTTCGTTTGCTATGCCGCAAAAGGCATTACTGGGCGAAATACGAACGAATCGGTAACAACGGCGGATACAGGTAATTCAAACGAGCAAGGGACATATGCACGAAGGCGATAATAGAAAACAGACTTCATTATCAGATAAAGCTTATCGATGAGTTTGTCTTCAATACAAAAAGCTTATTCCGTTACGCAGCCTCTCTTCGTCAAGCCAAAACTGGAGTTTACTTAGGCTGTACATTCGTATATGTAGTTATATGGAAAATGTACGGCTTAAGTAAAATCCGGCGGCCTGCTTGAATATCTGGGCTACCTGTTCCTTCGATCTATATATTTCTTCAAGTTATCTGTTTTGTTGTTCGTTTTAGCATATCAATATGTCTATTGTGCTCACAATCTATTCGGGCGCGTTTATGAAAAGTTTACAACCTTTCGCTATACGGGATACAGAAAGGTACAATCAGCGACATCATGGTGGCTGGCAATATGCATTGAAACGAACAAACATTAATCAAATGCGGATTATCGAATTCCTAACATCTAACTGGTCATCATTCGAAATTTATCGTCACAATCGATCAAGATATAAGAAAAAGAAACTTGTTGAAATACTTTATGCTGGGAATTCTATGTTGTACGAAAAGTATAATGTTGAATAAAGCTTCTTATAATAATAATAAATAATAATAATGGCCCAACCAGTAACGGCGGCGATGCCGCTAACCTTTTGGCTGAACAACACCCTCGGACATTTCAACCTATACATCAACTATACTGATGACAGTTTCATTTGCAATTGCACGGGACTTTCCGAAGTAAACCTGAGGGCTGACTTGATGCACTGGAAACTGCAGCACCTAAGAAAAGACACTCCACCTGGTCCAGATATAGTTCATTCTGCCATACTGAGGTAAGCAAATTCAATCCTGGCAACACCACTAGGCGTGATGTTCTCACACATTATTGAAAATTTGGAAGCTAGCTCACATCACACCATTTTTAAAAGGATGTCGACACAGCGAACCTTCAAGCCACCAACCGGTGTCACTTCCCTCCTTACCCAAAAATTAGTGTCCCTGATATGCAACGGTATACATGAGAATATATTATCCTTAAACTACTTTTCACCCCAACAGCATGGTTTCAGGAAGGGTTATTCTTGTATAACCGACCTGCTGACTGCTGCGGATAGATGGACAGCAAGGGGAAGGCTGACATCATTAACCTTGACTCCTCAAAAGTTTCTGACAGGGTCGACCATATATATCTTATAAATAAGCTCAGATGGTTAGGTATCAAGTCACTTCCAATCGATTAGCTTGCTTCGTTTTAGGGTCAGGGTTAACTTCAAATTATCTCGGGCTATGGAATGTCGCAATGGGGTTCCCCAGGGTTCAGTACCAGGAACTATTCTTCTTGACTTATATAAAGGATCTTCCGCAACAGGTATCGTCGGACTTATTACTTTTTTCTGGCAATGTGAAACTTTGTAGAGAGATACGCAACCAAGAAGATATACGGGCACTTCAGGAGGATCTGACTCGACTTCGAAAATGGGCAGATGACAACGGACTCAAGTATAACACCTCAAAGTGTTAAGTAGTCCATCTACGACATGTTGCGGACTACAGTTACAAGTTAGAAAACTACTCTCCAGAAATATCCCAGGTTGAAAAAGATTTGGGATTGCTTGCAACCTATGAGTTGAAGTCCTACGCTAACTGTGACAAAAATGCGTTTCAAGCAAACCTTGCACTGGTAACATTGGAGCGCATTCCTGGCCAGTTTGATGGAAGAACATTCCACATAACCCTCAACAGTTTCATTCGTCCCCCTTTAGAGTACCGGAACATAGCATTTCCTTCATAACTTCAAAAGGATAAGGAAACTCTGGAACGTACACAACGGTGAGCCACGAAATCATTGACGGGACTCAAGTTCAAGCTCTATGAAGAGAGCTTCCAATTACTGAACCTTTACCCATCGGAGTACAGGCGTCTTACAGGTGGCCTTCTAATGGCCTTCGCTATCCTTGATACTTCTGTACATCCCACTAAATACTTACTTAAGTTTAGTTTCAACACAAACCTCAGGGGTAACAGCCAGAACCTGCAGACACAACACAGCTGAACGGACTGTAGACTAAATGTTTACCAACTTCTTTTTCCTCTGTTATTATCAATATACCTAGTTTCTTGACTGTAGGTATTGAAGATCCACTGCTACTAGATAGAGAAGCTCGTTAAGCGAAATCTTCTATTCCGTCCACAATCATTCGAACCATTTGAAGGTCGTTCAAGGCCATAACGGAAAGCGCGGTTGAGTTCAAATACCAGTATCTCAGTACCAAAAATCTTTACCAGCTGACTGATGGCTCGAAAACGAACAAAGTGGGAACTAGTTCATCAATTTGTTCATGAAGTCGTTGACTTCAGCTCTCAGTATGGGTCAGAAAGTGGAACTGGATTTACAGCGGCAAATATTGTTGGGCCGTGTCAAGTGTATCCAAATTATTGTGATTCCAACGCAACAGCAGCTTTTGTAAGTTAATTCATAATGTCATATCATTTTGAATTTCTGTTTTCATTTCGTGGCTATCTGGCGTAAGGTGCATACATTTGTCTTACGATATATATTTGATTTGTCAATTAGAGCCTCCTTACTAAGCGAATATGGCATAAATTACGAAGATAGTAGCTTGCAGTAACTTAATTAATGGTGTATAAAACACTCACCAGGATTTTGGGTACGAGGTTTCGAGTATCTGAGTTGAGACAACTTACCAATTTAAGGTTGATTAATAGTGTCCGAACTGTTCCAGTTTCACTTTGGAAAAGATGATAAATGCCTTGTGTTATTCTTGGCAATGGGGGTCACTCAGGCGATCCGGTTTTCTTTTTTTTGAAAGCTTATGTACCTTTATTAATTTTCATATAAAATTCCCTGACAAGTATATGTGTGGTCAGATTGTCCGAAATGTATGGCGCAAATACATCACGTTTTTCAGGTCAACCCCGTCTTCTCATTGTTCTATCGAAATTTATAAAAGGGACTAGTTACTTTAAATTCAATGAAAGCGAAAACAGTAGTTTTGATGTGTAATAAACGACCGAAACAACAAAATTAAATCAGCGAGGAAAAATATCTCCGTCTTTTTATTAAACAGCGCTATTTCCTAGTCGGAAGAAAAATAAAGCATGTTTCAAACCACTTTTACTGTTTAGTATTCTGTGTATGTTTTCCCTTAGAGCATTAGTTATTCTCTTTCTAAACGAAGTTTGGTCTTAATTCTGTTACATTTTGTTCTGCATTTAGTTCTAGATAATCAGGTTCTCATCACTTGTTAAATGTAAACACATTTTTTCACACTGTAAAACATCAATTTCCAGCAGATTATTTCTTTAATCAGCAGTTTTGCGTCTTTCAAAATGTGATAACCCTGTTATTTTCCATAGTCGAAATGCGAGTGCATAAACTTGTCAATAAATGAAGTAACTATGTAGTCTTACAGTGCTACGTGATTAAAGAATAGGCTTAAAAATCTTGAGGGTGACTAAATGTAATGCTTGTCCTTAAAGTTGTAGATGTTTGACACAAATGTAGTGTAAGGTTTCTTAGATATTGTCCAGTTAGTGAAAGCTATTAGCCTTAATTTCTAGGTTGTACAAATCTAAATTAACCTAAATACCAAAATTATTTTCAGTTAATATAACCTTAACACTTTTTGGGAAATAAAAACAAACTGATGCGAGATGAGAATTCTTGTTGAATTATCTAAATTAGCCAAACAGACTATCTGTTTCAAGTACCAATGTAATAGTACTAGAGGTATTAGAACAAATTATAAATACTGAGTATGATTAAAGGATGAACAAACTAGTGGATAGAAATACACAAAATAATTTTGAAACTTAGGATATACGGGAAAGTAAAGAGTAAGTATATCTGAACCATTTCGACTAATTGTGAGCCATGTTACCCAACGCCTTCTGCAGTACTTAATTTGTCCTACAGACATTCTACTAGAACTGTAAATGCGATACTGGCGATCTCAGAGTCTATGTGAAAGCTGTAGTCAGAACAAGAACAACTTGGCTTCAAACTTCATCTGTTTCTAAATATAAAAATAGGAATCTGATTACTACATTAATTAAAGGGATTATAGTCAATAAGTGGAACGCACAAACATACTGACCGCTATTGCGTGTCTTATCGAAATAAATAAAAATTATGAGTTACACTAATATAACAAGATAATAGTGCTCTTCAATTGGCAGGTTACATGCAACAGGGATAGTCTACGGACACATCAGACCAGATTGACGTGGTGGACGTCTAAACAACTATTTGATTGGTTAGTTATGGATATAACTAACATCTTTATTTACTGGCCGTGGTTCAGATCAGCAGTTGACTAGCTGATGGAGTCATACCATATTTTTGGTGTCCACTATGTTTCTCCTGACCGGTGGTTGGAGATACGTAAAGCACCCTGGTTACTTTAGTTGATAAGGATTTACTATGTGATGGGGTTTAAGATAGTTACCTAGTGATCTCAAAAAGTTGATGCTTGTACCAGTTCATGTCAGTCATTTCTCATGAGGAGTAGTTTCTTGTATTCTTCTACAAACCAGTAATTGTAATACTAGTGACTACAAAAAAACTAAGAAATTGTATGTGAACGTGTTATCTCTTGTATTTTTTTTCTTTACTAAGGTTAGATGATAGAAAAAATCTACTGTAATGTATTAGCCTTTACCCTTTATTACAAATCTAGTCATAATGTTAGTTCAAATGGTTTTTAACTGTATTCCATTTTGCCTAGAGGTTCTTTATGCTAACTCTATTTATGTATCAAATAGTAAGCTAGTACCAAATTGATTAGACATGTTTTAATAATTATTTGATCTTGAAAAAAAATTATAAATGTAATTAAATGCGGCACATTGTCTTTGTTTTTGGATAATGAATCCAAATAAAAGTTTTAGATTTTCTGGAGTTTATCATCAGAATAGTATATATTGGGGGTGTGCTGTCAAATCGTACTCGTATATTTTAGCACTACAGTCATGACCTAGTAATTTGCTCATTATTTGATGCCATATATTTTATTATTGTAAATACGTTTCTATTGCCAGAAGTTAACAATTTTAGTGGCCTGTGCTAATGTAGTTCTTCGGGGTCATTTCATTCTCATAGCAATTCTACTGAAAAAATAGTCACAATCTATAGAAGTCAAAGGAAACACTTTTAAAATAGTGATTTTTGATTACTTCCCTTGAGAGGCTTGAACCAGACACTTAAACAGAACGTTGGATTTGTTTTAATTTCAGTAACTGAGATTTTTTCAGGTACGATAACTTAAGAATGCTTATAATCTGTTTCTCTCCTTATAAATGCAAGAAGCTGCCTCAGGACCGATCAGCATTGGTGCCTAGTCTAACATTAAGAAATGTGATATTCACATTTGTTGGCAACTTTAATTATTTCAGAAGTCTCATCAACCCTGGTGGATTGATGGAATACAAAATCTCAACACGGATATAAAATGCTCACCTGACTTTTGAAAACTTGCTCTACTTGTGGCATTGGTGAGAAGTCCGTACGCGAATCAAAAGGCAAGTGTACTTTACAACAGTATGCTGTGTATCGCCCCACAGCTGTAAAGCGCTACTTGTGAAAATAAAAGACATATCTAGGTCTCAATTACTCGATCCCTGGTACCTGCAAAACATTCTTGGCAAATGGTGTGACCTCCAAGTGAGTAACTCTATGGTTAGGTATAGGGTTTTAAACCGATATGAAAGTCGATTGATATGACCATGAACTTTCATCTATCAAGATAGTTAAAAATATATTACTCATACTTAACGATTGCTTAAATTGATTACAGCTAACTAACTGATTGAGAAAAATCTTTTTCTGATCTTATCTACTATAGTCATAGTAAGCTAAACTGAGTTTTTTGTGCATAAACATTTTAGGGATCAATAATTAACGCATTTTGATTTCTAAGTAATTGGTTGCAAGTCCAAAATATCTCCTACCTTTTTAGTTTGAGTTACTAGGTGGTATTATAGCCGTCAAATTGTTTTGCTTGGTGACGAGTACACTAAATATATACTTGGTAAATGAGTTTCTCTATTAATGCATATATTCAATTATTTGATCCTATTATTTTATGAGTTAAAGGTATATGTTGAAAACTCGTTATTTTATATACATATTTTCTACATTTATAGCGAACTTACGGTAAATGGTGGCGTAATAGTCCAAGTAGTTTAAAACCGATCAATTTAACGCCTGATGATAATGATAATTATACAAGTGAAGATTATGTTGATTTATACTTTGATGTACCAGTAATACCAGTGTGTTTACAAATTTATGAAACTTATAATCCAGGTGCTATTGTACGCATTTCAGCTTGTTATAGACGTCAACCAGAAAATAGTCCAGTTAATATGCGTAAACTTCAGTGGACTACTTTATGGAAATTAAATTATTCTAATCAAGACAAAAATCAATTGGTTCAACTACAACACACCGATGACGACGATCATTACCGTACACGGCAACAACAACAACCACTTCAGTTAACTTATCATTCTAATAATGTATGCACTACTCTAGCTTGTCCAGATGTTGTTAATTGTAGAACAAGATCAATATCTAATATGTATCCTGACAGATGTCTACCTGCATTACCATATGATGATGAAAATGCGTTTACAGTTCAATATTCAGAATATCTACCTCAATCACGTATTTTTCAACCAAAATTGGTATGATTTTTTCCTATCTACATTTTCTCGTTTTTCATGATTTATTGATGTGAATTGATTAACTTCTGACTAAAAAAGAATTAGGTGCGATAGAGTGTTTGGGACGTACTGCACCCACTCCAATTTACACTATCATATAACATTGGCATGGGTACAGTTCTCGCTCACATTACATTTAGGAAGTTATGGAGAAGTAGTTTTTATTAAAACATATAACCCTGAAGCATAAGATTGCATATTCGAACCTCACTCCATCTACCGTGGTTTGAGTAATTAGTTAGTATTAAACCCTAGTGCATAAACATGTACTTGTTAATGAGCTAGGTCAGAGCTTCGGACTTTAAACTACCAAGTCACTATCTCTTGTTATTCCATATCTCTGAAACTGATTTAAACATGTAATGAGTATTACAGTCAGAATCTAACATTGTAGATTTCCCACTTATTTAACATTGACCCTGTTCATACCTTGTTTATACTTTCTCATTTATGATATGTTCTTCACTTTTTCCTATTTGAATCATGTGTCGGTTAGTCGAATATACATTTTCAAATATAATCTCCATCCAACTAAAAAGTGGAGTAACCAGTTTTAAGGGTAATAATTAATAATGTGTATTTTACATAACTTACTACCTAAGTTTCACTGGAAGGATGAATTAACTTTATAAGATCTATCCTTATATGATAATTCTCACATTTCATACATAACTTACTTATAAGTAATGTTTTTCTTATTGGGTTTAGTAAACGTAAATCTTCAGGTAATTGGATAACTAATTTGTCTCATCTGGTTATTGTTATTATTATTCACATGCCCTTACCTTAATATTCTAATAGGTACGAAGGTCATTCTCGCTTTTCACCGAGTTTTTTCCACTGACTCTTCATCTGATGAAGGAATAACTAAATTTATGTGTTCTAAGCGGAGATGGATGGTGGCTAGCAGTGAGATGTTCTTCCCATTCGGGACTCGTCAACTGCATGTACATATCTCCAAGAGTTATTCACTTTGGGTTTCGGACCCATTACTATTCTCCTCAAACGCCATCGCCTTATCCACTGAGTTTAGATAGCCACTGGATTGTGCAGTAGGATGAGAATAAATTCATTTTTATTGGTTTTGTTTATCTGAACTCAGTAGTTAAGTGGATAGCGCGATGGCGTTTGAAGAGAATGGTACTGGGTCCGAGTCCCGGGGTGAACAACTCTGGGATGCAGGTAGATCTAAATGACGATTCCCAAATAGGACAAAACACTCATCGTAGGTTTCAATACTAGCCACCAATCATCTCTGGTTATATTACGTGTAACTTAATGGCAATATCAAGGCAATCAGCATACGATCCACATATGCCTGAGACTTGTCAATTCGAGTCCTTAACATCAGTGGGGAGATCCAAGTAATCAATTCAAATAAATTTATATATTCTGAAAAAGTGCTTGCATATTTTTTTATTCTACTTTTAGTCCAATGTTCGACCATATCCAACAGATTTATTACGAATTGAATTTGATAGTACACGATGTAGATATTATACACAAATTGATGCTGTACGTTTATCTGGTTGGGCTGAATTAACGCATACTACTATATCACGATGGTCTGGACAACTTGAAGCCCCATCATCATCATCATTGTTAATTGGTGTCAATTCAGATAGTGCAGAACAATCAAATAATCGTTCACAAAATACTTTATCATTCTTTTCTGATTTATTAAGACCGTGTACACCACGTTTAAGAGCATCATCATATGATGTAAGTGTAATTCTGTTGGTATTTTCGGTTACAATCATTGTGTATTTTTCTATCAAATAGATATCAATTACTTTTATGTTAGCATAAAACCAAATTAGGAAAGAACTCAGTTTTACTATCAAAGTACTGATCGGTTTTATTATTTTTTATCTAAACACATAAACATTGGTACAAGGAGGCACTGAATACATATGCGCCACATAAATCATTCGATTTGTGTGAGGATTGATATACCTCTCGGGTTCCCAAGCCGAAGCACGTGGTTTTCTTAGGGGGTCACACTCGGAGCCTTCGACCTAAAGGTCTGATCCACAAGGCACTGGAGCAACTTAAGGAGATGCAGTATCATGGTAGCCGGTGACCAACAATAGATTCATACGCCTTTTGCTCCTTCAGGATTCTGGAGCCCATTGTACACCATTGGCTTGGAATCCAGGTTTTCCAACTCCTCAAGGTGGATCCTCTGTGTACACCAATCTAGTTAAAGCGTCGGCATTCACTTTTCGTCCTCTTAATTTAGTAAACAGTACCCCCGCCACGAGAAGGCATTGAGTAGGACTTCCCTGGCAGTGGTTGTGTACACGTGGCCATGTGAGAGCATTTAGAGGGAGAGAGAGCTGACTCTCCCCACTCACGGCCGTACCAGGGCATTTGGGGACAAAAGTGGTGTTTCTTTCCTTGAATCTCAAACTATGTTAGACGGTGTAACTTTACATTTAGGTTTAATTTACATCAGTCTCTTTATTTTGTTAATCAATTTATCTAAAATATTTCATCAAAGATTTTAAAGTATCAGTTTAATTAAGTTACAGGAATTGTTACAAGTTCATAGGTAAGTTGTTGTTTCCAAGTGGTTCATTACTTATTCTATGGTAATTTTTAAACATTTTAGATATACTATGTAATTTTACATAAATTATTACTTTGAGAGTGGCTTTTACTGTAAAGCCAATTGTACATGTAAATGTAATAATGTTGAGTGTGACCTGTTTATTGACTGTTTCCTATATATGTGTGTATAGACATAGATAGATGGATTAACATTCAATAAGTCATTTGTGCTTGAATTCACTAACTTCTAGTCTGAGCCATGTTGGTAGATGCAGACTACTTGGTTGGGGTCCGCGTGACTATCGTAATCAATGGTTGGAGACTATTGGTGACATGGCTCAGAATCGATCACAATGGCGTCGGTGTATACACTCTGTCTTTCCTTAAACTAAGAGATTAAAATCGGCTCATATCTTTCTTTCTACGAACTAATTATTTCTTCCTGTATTATATCCTTATATGCAATCTTTCTTTTATATATTACCACCTCTGAATTAACTACTTTTATGAATCCGGTGTCCATCTTGTTGTGTTAATGAGGTATGGCAACTTGGATGGATGCATATATGTGCCTGGTCCTACGTTGTAGCTGACTGACTGTTTCTGATGATATATCCACTTGTTCATCAGGTGTTGAATAACAGAAATTCTATTTTTTTGTCTTCAAATCTTTAGTGAGACAGTTACAATATATCGGGACGTACACAAATTTGAAGTTCGAAACCTGATTATGTTATACTTAATAATCTAGTGTCATTCACTGTTAGTATAGAACCTGGGGCATATGTGGTTCTGTTTAAATTGTCAAGCCATCGTTTGGCTCGACTTCGTTTAACTTTTTTTCTAACCTACTACTCCAGTGAATATTATGCTTTGGAGGTCTCATCAGCCCTTGTGGTCTGGTGTGTGACGAAATCTCATCACGGATACAGAAGGCTCAACTAGCTTTTGCCAACTTGCGTCATTTATGGCGTAGGCGAGATATCCATCTAGCAACAAAAAGATGGGTTTACTGTGCAGCAGTTCATTCCACCCTACTTTATGGCAGTGAAACATGGCCGGTAAGAGTAGAGGATATTCGTAGGTTACTAGTACTCGGTCATAGGTGTCTTCGAAGCATTGCTAGTATATCCTAGGACCATCAAGTAAGTCATGCAGTTGTTAAGAAACGGGTACTAGGTAAGGATGGCAAATCAATTGATGAAGTAGTGAAACTTAACCAGTAGAGATGGCTGGGACACGTGTTACGTATACCCAGCCACCGAGTGCCCCGACTTGCAATGTTTTATGGTGTAGGAGTAGATTGGAAGAAATCTATGGGCGGCCAGACCAAAACATGGCACAAATCCATTAAGTCACTGACAAGTGGACTGATTCATGTTGGTAGGTGTGGACTACTTGGTTGGGATCCGCGAGATGATAACAACCGATGATTAGAGACGTTGAATGACATGGCTCAAAATCGTTTGCAATGGTGCAGATGCATGCACTCTTTGTGTTCTCTCAAATTTTAATCTTCTGAATTCTCCATGTCTCTTTTTTTTCAAATTTATTTCACTGGATTATTTCCCGTGTATGGCGTCTTCAAACTCTGTTTCCAGTTACTGCTTATACATTTACTACCTCTACCACGATGGGATTTGAATCGACGGTTGTATCTGTGTGCTAATGTGGTATGGTAAATCGAACTGATGTACGTACGTATGAACTTCTACGTTGTTGTTGGTGACTGACTGATATTATCCTTTGAGGTGGCTGGTGTTTAGTACACTTTCGAACCCCAGTCAGAAAATTGAAATCCATAGTCTTTTCTAATGTGTCATCTTTTTCTAATAACCTAGATCCAACCCTAACCTTGATCAATAGGTGGTTCTCACACATACACACACACAAGTAATGTTTCTAAGACACTATATTTAGTGTTTACATTTCACAGCTATAAAATAAAACAAAGTAGACTACTGTATCGTAAATTTATCCTTTGATTATTAGACAAATATCTCACCCGTATTTATTTCAACACATAAATATTGGTACAAGGGGGCACCAAATATATATGCGCCACACCATATTTGTATGTGTGTGGACTGTGATACTGCCCGGGTGCCCAAACCGAAGCAGGTGGTTTTCTTAGGGGGTCACTCCCCGAGCCTTCGACCTGAAGGTCTGATCCACAAGGCAGTGGGGCATCGTAAGGAGATGCATTCCCATGGTAGCCGGTGACCAACGATTGGTTCATACGCCATTTGTTCTCGTAGGATACTCGATCCCATGTGCACCATTGGTTTGGAATCCGGTTAAAGCGCCGGACATTCGCTTTCCGTCCTCTCATTTTTGTAAACAACCCCCTGCACGAGAAGTCAGTGAGTAGAACTTCCCTGGCAGAGGCTATATACGCGTGGTCGTGTGAGACCATTTCGAGAGGGAGGGCGGGCACACCACACTCTCAGCCATACCAGGGCATTTGGTGTTAGCTGTTAAAAATAATACCCCATTGAAGGTTTCATAGTATTCAGTTGTACCTTTAAAATAATCTTTCTTTGTTCATTTAAATTCTAAGAAATGTAATAATGATTATATGAAAGTTTTGTTTTTTAATCTTTTAAAGCGAAATGCGGCGAGACTATAATTTATGAACGAAACTAATCAGATATAAGATAACAGGTCTCTATTTGGGTAAATAAAGTTTTGGCATTATAACTGATATCATTTTGTGATGAAAACCCGAAATTTAATTCCTAACCTTAATCATCAACTGTAAATTCTAATTCCTCACACAGGTTTATAACCTTCATTTGGTTCTGGTTATTAAATGGACACTCTCAAGGTCGTTCATGAATTATAGTCCCACCAAAAATGCTATTATAAATTTGTCTTTTATGTACATGTGCACATACATATTACAGCTGGCCAATTTGTTTTCCCAGTATGTTTCATTCATTTAATGTCATGGTCAACATAGTAACCACCTAATATATATAAATCGATTTCATGCACTTGATTTTCATCTAACCCTACCGCTTTACAAGTTGATTGTCATCTTTCAACTGTTTCTCAGTTCATATCTATTGTTACCTAACTATAAATCTCCATGAATCTGTGTGATTTACTCTTTGATTTTTTTTTAGCTAACTGATGATTCGATGGATGTGTCGTTGTCAGATGCTACGTTACCTGGATTATCACCAGATCGATTAGATGATAAGAATATTGATGAAGATAAATCTTCTTCATCAGCATTATTACCAATCTGTATTCGTCGTAAATCTTCTGGTTTGATTCAGATACCACCAGTTGGAATGAATTTATTATTATTACAAAGTAGGAATTTAGTTGCATTGCCACCAGGTACAATTTGTCAGTCTTCATTATTTGGTTTGACTTATTTAAATGAGGATGCATTATGGCGTCATGGACCATTAACTCGTTTACCGGTAAGTAGTATATGTATACATGAATTGCATAGCAGCTGTTTGTAAAAGTCATTTTCCATACTGTTTACATTAAACACGATTGATTAAGCACTTAATTTTACTTAGATTAATATAACTTTTAAGATAAATCAAGAATCGGTCTGTTTCGATAGTGTAATAAAAAGACGAAGATGATCAGAACTATCTGATGATAGATTAGCGCAATACATTTCGAACTATCTGATCACACACATCTACTTGTTGAGAACATTTATATATAAAGAAATAAACGGTCAACTAGACTGGAAATGGAGGGTAAGAGCAGATAAGGATAATAAAGAAACTAATGTAAAGACAATTCGAAACCCCATCACTATGGATTGTTCGAAATGTATTGCGTTGATATATAACATGGTTCTGATAATCTTCATCTTCTTATTACACTATCGGAATTTAACAAAGGAAGTAATTGTTTGAAATTGATTTGTTTGACTATTCAACACAGTATTTAATGCCCAACAGCTCACATTCACAATCTAGACATAAGTTTTACCCAGAATCTTCAGATCTTTCGGCTAATGTACACGGAGAGTTCACCTAGGGAAGTAGTAAAACCGTAACTCTTAATCAATAATGCTTGTCGACGCTGAGATCTTAGGTAAGTCAATGTGTACAAACTCAATTTAGTCATTGGATATGTTGGGATTTCATCTTCTGATTTAACTTTGTTACCTTGTGGTTAATACGTTTAAGTAAAAGGTTTTGGCTTTAACCTTCATAAGAAAACTATTTTCTTTGGTTTGGGAGACAGAAAAGTATCACAGCATTCACATACAAATGATGTTGACCACTAATGAAGCAAATAAGGTACTTAGATAAATCCTGCTATGCTTTTATTCACAAACAGGTTTCAAACCACTGGACATCTTGTTATCAAGCTTGTTGGAACTTAGATATTGAACTCTAATAGAATATGGCTAAATGCCAACGAAGTATCGACATTCATCGAATTATTATGAAACATCTTTTCTTGAAATGATAAACAAACAACTGATCACACTTTAGGATTTATTAAAAGAATATTTTGTCCTACATCAGTTTGCTCTGAAGGATTACTTTTGATAGTAATGTTGTCTTGCATCATGATATAGTGAGATGTGTCCCATGCAGTCTTCCAGATTATACTTTTGCCTCTTGTTCCATTCTAAAATATCTGATATTAAGAAAGTTTGCTAATGTGTAAACACAGGGAGCTGGATAATCACTCAATCCCTTTGAATGTCATATTGTTAACTTTCACCTAAGATATGGGATAGTACCTGAATATCCACATGGGGGGGGTCGCATAACTTTTGTACTATTTCAAATATCATTTATCATAGTATTAGGTTTACTTCTGATCTCTATTAATCTTTCCACATTTTATTAAGATCAATGAAAAGATTTTCATCCAATTTATTATATAAATGAGATTACATTATATTTTGACATTACTTGGCAACCTTACTCTTTATGGATTGTAGATTCCTGTACCATTCTCTTTCTCTGTTATTTCGTTTGGACTTATATGAAAAAAAAAATAATTTATATTCCATAGAGTATTTGAATTCAATTCAGTCTAAAAAGTAAGCACCTAAATACTTTTACATCATTATGCATAAACATTTGATATTTTGCAAAAAAAAAACATACTGGAAAGTATTGTTCTATCTAAGTACAAACTATTCAATTCCATTGTAAGATATTGTATTGGTTAAAACTTGTTATTATTATTATTATTATCTTCTATAATCGTGGGGGGTGTTTTTTGTTGTGTTATTTTGGTTACATAATTATAAATTATTAAAAATTTTATTTTATGAATTTTTCTCTTGACAACAACATCTACAATCATATCAAGTATGAAATTCTACTTCATATTTTCTCTTATTTGGGTTTAAGAAGTTTACTTCGTTGTGCATGTGTATCTCGGTAAGTGAATGTTATAGTAGTTGTGTGATTTATACAATTTTTTGTATTTTTGTCTTCCATTATTATTATTATTATTTTAACACATAGATATTTTTACAAGGAGGCACCAAATACATATGCGCCAAACAAATCTCATTTGATATGTGTGAGGGCTGTGATACTGCCCGGGTGCCCAAACCGAAGCAGGTGGTTTTCTTAGGGGGCCACACCGGAGCCTTCGACATGAAGGTCTAACCCACAAGGCAGTGGAGCATCGTAAGGAGATGCAGTCTTATGGTTCATACGCCATTTGTTCCCATAGGATACTGGAGCCCATGTGCACCATTGGTTTGGAATCCGGTTAAAGCGCCGGACATTCGCTTTTCGTCCTCTCATTTTTCGTAAACAACACCCGTGCCACGAGAAAGCAGTGAGTAGGACTTCCCTGGCAGAGGCTATATACGCGTGGCCATGTGAGAGCATTTAGAGAAGGAGAGCGGACTCTCCTCACTCTCGGCCATACCAGGGCATTTCTAGACCTTTGTCTTGTATATATATATATATATATATATATATATATATATATATATATATATATATATATATATATATATGAGTTATATCATATCTTTTAAGAGTTTTCATTCTAATCAACATGAAAATATAAGTAAATATACAAGTTATTCTGTGTGGGGTGAGTGGGGAGAGTTTGATCACCTCGAAATGCCCTCACATGGCCACGTGTATACAACCACTGCCAGAGAAGTCTTACTCGGGGTGGGGATGTTTACAAAATTGAGTGAACGAGAAGTGAATGTCTGGTGCTTTAACTATGTTGGTGGATACAAAGGATTCACCTAAGGGATTTGTAAACCCTGAATCCAAACCAATGGTGCATATAAACTGCATGATTCTGAGGGAGCAAATGGCATATGAACCAATTGTTGGTCACTGGCTACCATGGGACTGCATCTCCTTCTCGTTATTCCACTATCTTGTAGATCAGACCTTTATGTTGAAGGCTCCGAGTGTGGCTCCCTAAGAAAACCACCTGCTTCCGCCTGGGCTTGAACTTTAATGTTGGACGAAGTTCAACAATGAATTGATTCATAGGCAAAAGAATAGAACTTTATTACACTTGAATAAAGTATTTAACATTCAAATAATAATCTTCAATCAAATGTATACACTTAAAATAAATCAGTTGTCTATTTTAATAACCTATTGGCTCATTCAATAAAAAAAACAAAGAGAATTCACTGAAGAAAATTTTCTTTTTCAAAGAAATCATTTACTTCAGTTGTGTATAGATACTTATTTAATTTCACAGAAAAGGGTTTTTGTGAATATTATAGTATTTTAATAGTTGATTTCATGAGTCAATTAAAGCTAGACTACTATGGAAAACCTGGAAGCACTAGACAACTGTCCCGTCCTAGTATGGGACTCTTCAGCAGTGTGCATCCACAATCTTGCCCCACGGGATTCCAACCTAGGACCTCATTTAATTTATTTTTTATTATGATTACATCATTCATTTTAATCAATTTCTGAATAATTACTGTTTCACCTTGATTATACCTTTTTAAATGACCTTACTACATTGTACTGATAATCTTCATCACTTCAATTATGCACTGACCATTGTTGTTTATTTAAACTTATTATACAATTGAATATAAATAAGATTATAAAGTAAGAATGAATTAATATTATTCTAAATCAATTGTTGTCATTGTTCCGTTGAAATTCATTTGAAAAAAAGGGAATTAACCTTATGAAAAATCATAGATTGATACAATTAACGTTTAAGTAAAATGCACTAATAGTGGATAGCAGTGGTGGAGTTCAGTTTGACGCGCGTTTCGTCCTATTTGGAACTTGTCAGTTAGATGTACCCGTATCTCAGAGTTGATGCTCACTCTGGGACTCGAACGCAGTACCGTTCACTTCAAACGCTATCGAGTTATCCACTTAGCTACTGAGCCCTGATAGCCACTTGCTTGTTCAATGGGTTGGAGTTTAAATTCAGTTAGTATTGTTTGTTTGAATGTTCCCATTGTTATTTAAGAGTGGAATTGATCAGTCTCATGTGGACGAGTTTCAGATAGGGAGAAACGTGCGTCCTGGATTCCACTGCTAGCCACTATCCATCTTTGCTCAAAAAGCTTGTGACTTAAGGCTATATCGAGGCAATCCGCACATGATGCATATATACCAACAAAAGACTGATCAATTGCAATCCTAAATAACAATGGAAAGATATGAGTAAAACAACACCAAATGAGTATGAACTTAGCTTTAAAGTTTAAGCACATATAATCAACTTTTCGGCGAGATTATAATGTATTGATGAACCAATCAGATTTACGATAACAGATCTTGGATTTCGGCGCGAAATTCACTCATCCATTTGGTTAAATCGCGTCTTAACATTCTAACTGATATCAGTTCGTGATAAAAAAAAATCCCTAAATCTAATTGCTATCCCTATCCATCAACTGTAAATCACTATCCTTATCCTTCACACAGGTTTAAAACCTTCATTTAACCGTAGTCGTTAGGTGGACATCCTCAAGGTCACTTTAGCGTCACTCAAAGGTCGTCCATAGAATTCTCATCTTACCAACTATTCTAGTTGAAATTAATGAATTCAAATTTATATCGGTGTAACAATCAACAGCTTTGAACATGGAATTGTATTCTTATGTTCGTTTATTAGTTGGTAAATTTCTTCTTAAAATAAAATACAAACATTTTTTTTTACTTTTACTTCATTTTTTTTTTCTTATTTTATTACATACAGTCAATTCCGTTGTCTAGTTAAAGATACACTGGCTAATATGACTAGTATAGATCTTCAATCATTTTGGCCAATATTAAATGATTCAACATTAATTAGTTTAGGTAAACGTCTTGGTCAAGTTAATTTGACTGCAAGAGCAGTTGTTGAATATTATACAACGGGTCAATCGTTAGTTGCACCAATCACTTTATTACGTCGTCAATGTAGAGAAGAAGAACAAGAAGAAGGGAATAATGATGAGATTGAAATCAATATGTAGCTAATCAACAGCACAATTTAAGTACACGTTTCAATTACCGTACTAAAACACGTGTCCATACACCATTTGCTGCACGAGTACGTAGTTATAGTTCGAATGCTGCTGCACGTTTACGTAATCATACTAGGTTATTGGATTCCATTTCTTCCAATATACAAAATATATTAGTGTATAATAATAAAGATTTTCCTGAAAATGAAAATGATACTGTAAATCAAAATTTGAATGTTAAAATATCCGATAGTTCAGTAGAAGCATTACAAGTACAAACAGATGAATTAAATCAAGGTGATTATTTTGAATTGCCAAATTCTCATTTACGACGTTTAGATATGTCGTGGTGCGGAACTATTCTATGGTGAGTTTAAATGCTTGTTAAGTAGATATGTATTTGTGTGTACACATGTTTATTCCTGTTTTAGAGCTCCTGAAATGTTATCAGAAAACCTGATGGAAGCACTAGACGGCCGTCTCGTTCTAGTATGGAACTCCTCAATAGTGCGCATCCACGATTCCCCTAGCGGGACTCAAACCAAGAACCATCGGTTTCGCACACGAATGCTTAACCTATAGACCACTGAACAGGCCGATATCCAACGGTGTTAATGTCTAACTTCAACCAATCCACGAAATTGCGCCACCGCCCACCAGTGTCTTTAATGAGTCATTGCCTCACAACAGACACGGTTGAACTCCACTCCAGTGCTTCCAGGCTTTCCATGATGGTCTAGCTTTAATCGACTCATGAATTCAACTATTAAATAATAAAATGTTGTCAATAGTATTTCCCCTATTTTTTGGGTGTTTATGTGCTTACAATGAAATTCAAACATCACATTAACGAACTAGTTTATGTTATTGGTATAAGCTTTAAAAATGCTATTCATATATAATTGAACTAAATATTACAATTGCCTTATTGAATGTTAAAGAGGATAACTTTTGTTGACTTATATCAGTTAACATTTTAATTGAATAAACTGTCATGGATACAAACTTATTTATCCAAAAGGGGGTTATCTAATCATTTTGAAACTAGACACGTCTTATGGAAAATAGTTCATCCAATTCAATTAAGCCATATCTATCAATATGAAATTAGTCTTGATTTTTAATGCTATTTCAACTTGCATTTATTATTTATTTGAACACATAAATACTGGTACAAGGAGCACCAGTTACATATGCACCACACAAATCTCATTTGTTATGTGTGAGGGCTGTGATACTGCCTGGGTGCCCAAACCGAAGCATATGGTTTTCCTAGGGGGTCACACCCGGAGCCCTCGACCTAATTGTCCGATCCACAAGGCACTGGAGCATCTTAAGGAGATGTAGTTCCATGGTAGCCGGTGACCAACGATTGGTTCATACGCTATTTGTTCGCGCAGGATACTCGAGCCCATGTGCACCATTGGTTTGAAATCAGGGTTTTCCAACTCCCTTAGGTAGACTCTCCATATCCACCAACCTGGTTAAAGCGCCGGACATTTGCTTTTCGTCCTCTCAATTTCGTAACCAACAGTAATGCCACGAGAAAGCAATGAGTAGAACTTCCCTGGCAGAGGCTATATACGCGTGGCCATATGAAAGCATTTGGAAAGGGAGAGCGGACTCTCCTAACTCTCGGCCGTACCAGGGCATTTGGAGCCATGAATGATTAGGGATTTTATCATCTATTATCATTATAACATCTATCCAAGTATTCTAATAAATTTACCTCTAACCGGATATCGTTAAAATTATACATACATGTAATTGCCTAATGAATGAGTTTATTTTGTAAAGGGCGAGATACTGACAGGCTTCATTTCTCAAAAGATATCTATATACGTTATCCAAATCAGTTTTCTTCTTCACTCTTCGCTCTTTCTTTCAAGTAATCAGGCATGTATTTGACAACAGTACTTATCAATATCGGCTTTATAACACCGCGTATCAACAACATATTCCTACATAATGGTCAAGTTTAGCGTAAAATTCCGAAACCAAACATTAGCTTTGTCTAAAAATGTAATACTAATATAGAAAACCACATATTCACTATAGATTTACGAACTTCAAATTATAAAGTGTTCGTGTTTCATTTATGCATCACTAAAGAGAAAAATTAACCTTAAGATTAAGTTCGAATAATATTTTTTCTGGTTAGCGTTTTTTTAGCGAGTTACTTTTCTACGGGATGGGGTCACTAACCCCATGCCCAACCCTCCTCCTTTATCCAGGCTTGGGACCAGCAGTAGCCCCCAGAGGGACTCCAGGCGGAGTTATCGTTAAGATTAGTTAATCAGAACACTATAAACAATCGATGTGTATGTTTCAACGAATCGGACGATTCTTCAATTAACCTGTAATACACTATTCAATGACGTAATTATAAGGATTATATATCATATCCTTCTCTATAGATACATCTTCAAACAATCTCTACTTAATTTGTTTGAAACAACTGAAAACAAGAAATAATCGGAACATTATAGATTACAAAATAATGTTTGTCAAAATAATAGTACATAGGTAAAAGTGCATACACATCGTAAATAGGGATGTTCTATTTAATAAGATGGTTTTTCATTGTATGAAAAAGTTCACAAGTATTGATTTTTTTTAGAAAACGTAGTGATTAATAGACCTAAGAAATTGATTTGATTCAAATTCAATTTGATCCTCCTAACAGTATTACTTACTGTTACTCCTCGTATAGGAACATAGGCCTTCCACCAGCACTCTCCATCTAACCCTGTCCTAGGCAATCCTTTTCAGCTCTTTCCAGTTGTAATTCATCCTTTTCATATCTGCTTCTATAATCCGACGCAATGTGTTCTTTGGCCTTCCTCTTTTCCGCTTCCCTTCAGGATTCCAAGTTAGAGTTTGCCTCATGATGCAGTTTGATGATTTCCGTAATGTATGTCCTATCCACTTCCAACGTCTTTTCCTAATTTCCTCTTCAACTGGAGGCTGGTTTAATCTCTCCCAGAAAAGGTTGTTACTGATGATATCTGGCCAATGGATGTGGAGTATCTTGTGTAGACAACTCTTTACAAATACTTGTACCTTCTTGATGATGGTTGTAGTAGTTAGTTCAGTCGTGATTATATTAATTTTTAAAAAAAATTAATCGATTTTTTCGGCTTTTTTTTGTTAATAGATATCACCAACAGCATTTGGTCATTTCCTCACTGATGCTTGTCGTTATTTAACTACATTACGTTTGTCTAGTTGTAAATTTCTTAACGATGACTGCTTGTTACATATTGTCAATACTTGTCCATATATAAAAGGTGAGTAGTAGAATTATAATTCATACTTGTTTTATCATAATATTCAAGCTTAGCAACTAAGCACTGATTATTGCACTCAACTTTCAATCATATGTTTTAATGTGAAGGGTATTATATCGATCTGAAGTAATTAGAGAAGGGTTGAGTGTTATAACTATTTGCCTGTCACTTATAGTCATGTTTGTGACTAAGTTCCTATATTGTGTGTGTTAATCTTTAATGATACTGATGATAATACTTCTCGGTTGATGATTGATTCCTAAACAGAACAAAAACACGCTTTATGGATTCCACTACTAGCCACATTTCATCTATTCTATATCGACTTATATCATATTGGTTATATCAAGGCAATCCTCATAAAGTGCCCAAATGGCCAACCAAACCTAATCGAATTTCAGTCAAAAATATCATCAACAGAATAATCCAAGTTTAAATAATAAATATTTATTTTAGAATACTCAAAACCAATACTCAGTAGATGCATTTACAGAATGACTAAACAAAGTTATTTATTGAATTCTGTAATTACTTTGTTTACTTTTTCTTTCTTTTGTTTGTTTGTTTGTTTGGTGTGTGTGTGTGTATGTATGTGTAGAACTTGATTTATCATCATGTCTTGGTATTACATCATATGGTTTCTTAACATTGGGTCGATTAATTCACTTACAATGGATATCACTATATCGAACCCATATCACTGATAATGGTTTAGCGATATTAGCTGAATTATGTCAATATTTAAAGCATGTGAATCTTGGTTCATGCATATATGTTAATGATATGGATCATATATTGCATGATCTGACAAGAAATAATCCGTAAGTAAATAATAATTATCAGAAGGGGTTTTGTGGGGATTTTGAAAATTTCACTAGTTGAAATCATGAGTCAATTGGTTGAAGTTAGAAATTATAACACCGTTGGATATCGGCTCAGTGGTCTAATGGTTAAGCGCGAGACTGATAGACCCTGTGTTCAGATCTCACGGGGGGCGGGATCGTGATTGCACACTGCTGAGGAGTCCCATACTAGGACGAAACGGCCTTCCAGTGCTTCCAGGTTTTCCATGGTGATCTAGCTTCAATTGACTCATGATTTCAACCAGTAAGTAGTAATTGTCAATATTTGCATGTTACTTAAATTTAACATAAGACATTTTAACGAAGAATACTGTTTTCAGATCATATATTTATATATATAAGCGAACAATATTGTTTTCAATTAGATCCTCATCAGGATTTACTCTAATATACAGTAATGTATTTATATGCATATACGAAATCCCAGTAGTATTAGTAACGACAGTAGTAGAAAAGATTTTGTAGAAAAAGTAGAACAGCATAAGAACATGTCGGGTCTTAAGGGTGAATACATCTGCGTCACTGCGTTTGGTTCTGAGACCACCTAAAATCTTTAGCCATTGGCTATAATAATCGCCTCGATCCCTACTAGGTATTCCTTTATCTACACAGCTCAGTCTAACACTCGCAACATGGAATATCATCACGTCTTGATTTGATCTATCGTGGCTTTCTTACAACTTACTTTTATATCAACCAACATCACTCATCAAATTAGGCGGTTCTGTTGCATACGCAGTGCATATCACAACCGCTTCAGTTGATGGAGTTTAATTACTTCATCAGCCGATTTATCATCTTTACCAGTTACCCTATCCCTAACCTCAGCATTGTTCACTTGATGGAATGTAAGTACACGAACAAGACACCTATAATAGAATACTGGTAACCTATGAATGTCCTGTCATAATGGCCATGTTTTACAACCACACAGTAAAACAAAAGGGATTACCGCTCAATAAACTCATCTTGTTGTTGGTAGACAAACATCTCGTCTATGTCACAAGTGATGCAAGTTTCCAAAGCCAACTGAGCTTTTGTTTAATTTATAAGAAACTTTGGATTACTAGATTTGAGTTTTCTGTAAGATATCTTGCTTCATGTTGTTCACATAGTTTGTTGTATTCTCTTTTTAATTATATTGTTTTCTAGAAATTTACGTTCATTAAACTTATGGCGATCCAACAGTTTGACTGCTACAGGACTATCATCTATATCAGAACATTGTTTACAATTAGAAGAATTAGACATCGGTTGGTGTCGTAATGTAGTTCTAACACAAGAATCAAATTGTATTGTACAATTAACTAGTCGTGTTCGACATTTAAAAAATTATTCTTAACCGGAACAAAGTGAGTTTGATTTTTTTTCGTACTTTCAAACATATGTTCACTAGTGACTGGCTTCAAGATGTATATCCTGGAGTTCTAGTGAGAAGCAGTGACCAGTGGAGTTCTACCGGGTCAGTTGTGAGGTAGTAAAGACAATGGTGAATGTGTGTCTCAATTTTGTGGATTACTTGAAGTTTGACATTAACACCGTTGGATGCCGACTCAGTGGTATAGTGGTTAAGCGCTGGCGCGCGAGACTGATAGGTACTGGGTTCGAATCTCGCGGGCCATGTTGTGGATGTGCACTGCTGAGGAGTCCCATAATATGACGAGACGGCCGTCCAGTGCTTCCAGGTTTTCCATGGTGATCTAGCTTTAATTGACTATTGTAATTATAAATCTCTGTTCATGTATCGTTAATGTTGTATGACATTGTTTTTATGATTTTGATGTGTTGTGTGAGAGTATGGTATGTTCAACTACTAAGCAAAGGTAAACGAGCCTCTGTATCTAAGCTCACTGTACTGTTTAGTGTTATATCTTAAACAATAATTTCAATGTAACTCTTCAGACCTCACACTGTATATATTTTGTGTTAATAAACTGTAGTTATGATCTATTGTCTGATGTTCAGTTGTCAGTCGGATATTGTATATCGTGTGTATATTGTGTATCGTATGACTGTTTGTTGGAGAGATTCAGAAAACTCCTCGAAAAAAAGCCAACTAATGTTGCGCAAACACAGAAGATTTGCCAGAATGTCACATGTCGGTTTTCTAACTGGATGATTGCTCATACGGCTACTATGTTTAGTAGCACTCCAGAATTTTCATGAAATCCAAGGACATCTAAAACACTATAGAAACTCTATATTTCCTGTACAAAAACGAATTTTCCGAGAAGTGTTTCTTATGTATTTCGCACCTTTTCTCTCGTGTTTAAGTTGCTGTTTAATTTTAGCCTGGCATTTACTAGGAGGTTAGAAACTAATCCAGCGTTCAAGTAGCAAGACTTATCGCTTATTTTAGTCTTAAATTGAGTATCGTGTCCCTGTTCGATTATACTGTATATCACATCTCAAATACAAAGTATTATCTTGTTGTAGTGGGCATCTATTAAATTTGTGGTGCCGGTTATTATGTTAAGACCATATACCTTATTCCAGCTTTCGGACAGCCCATTCTGTTCATTCTACTTGAGTCACGTTCTGACCTTGTTATTTATTCGCTCATCAATCTTGACTGTTTTCATATGAGCGCGTAGGTGTGTGTACATTTCTTATCCCATTACTCATCACATATCTGTAACTTACTTTTGTGTAACTATAAATATTGATTGAATAACGCTTGGCTTACCAGCCATATCCACTCTGCGTCGTTTCTCTTCTCTCTATTCCATTCGCCTTATATACAAAATAATATATGTATTCACAAGTTCATTCTCGCTATTTGACTTATCTAAATCCGTTATTGACTAACGCGATAACAAACATTCATACAATCTTTTTGGTGTCAGATCCACGGGCCACTAAAATGGAGAGCCCTTTTGACAACATCGTTCAATCAAAACGACGACAAAAATTATTAATTAGGTAGTAAATATTGTTTATTGAAACCGAAGTAATCAGAATCGGAAATACCCTGTAAATAATACAAAGTGAATCAATACTACTGAATTGTCTGATCAACACTTTAACAATAACAATTGCTCGTAATAAATAAGAAGAGTGATAGGGAGTAATTGGTGACATTAAACTAAACGTTTATGGTTCCTAAGGCAAGACAATTAAATATGTTGTCAGCATTATATGGTATATCGTTTAAAACAAAACAATCAATAAAAAGTAGATAGGGATTACGTAACGCTGTCACACTATCAAAGTTATCAGTAATCAATCAATTTGTTTGGGAAGCTACAATAATAATCCCCAATAATTTAAAATAGCATTTCCAGTCTATTATTCTAGTTTATTAGAATTTGTTCAATCTAGCCTTATATTATTTCATAATTTCTTCTTCTCATCTTATTCTTATCCTATTTTAGCCTTCTCAATTCGGAAGAACTTCTGTTAATTAGTCAATATTTAAATGAAACTTTAGAACAATTAGATATACATGGTTCAACAAATATTACAACTTCTGCTATTGTTTCTATGCTAAATCAATGTCAAAAATTGAAATTATTAGATGTATCATTTTGTTCAGAAATTCATTCAATTCATTTAATTAAATTAAGATATTTATTTCCATATTGTACAATCATTGATTCAATACCAGATATGAATGCAGAAATATTAGGTAATCAATTCCCTGAAATGATTATTGATGAAGTTGTTGATGACGATGATGAGAATATTATAGAAAATCAAGAACCATTAGTAGCATTACCAGCACCAAATCCATTACAACAAGATATTGTTGTTTATCATTATTAGATTCAATTAGTTTGTTTGTTCATGTGTGTGTGTGTGTATGTGAGTGTATGTAAAGAGTAACACTTTGTTCTAAAATGCAAATGAATCCGATGTATTTGAATCGATTTACTTTCCATATATAAAAACAGTTTTATTTTACTTTTTTGTTTATGTTTTTCTTTTTGTTTATATTATTTTAATTTGTATATTTTATTTTCAAAATTCCACCGCTTTATTTCATTGTGCATTTAAAAGAGACAATATGTTTATGTGTTGTGAATGAATAAATTGAAAAGAGTAAATAACCACTATGTAAATTGATCATTGTATTGTTTGTAATATCATAGATTTTATTTGTAGTTTTAGGATTGATCTGCTTCAATACCTGAACTAAGGATAGGGAGTGAAGTAGTCGAACGCGTCAACAACTTTACTTATCTTGGAAGTCTGACCAGCCCTAATGGGTTGGTGTCTGACGAAATCTCAGCACGGATTCGAAAAGTTCGCTTGGCTTTTGCCAACTTACGTCACCTATGGTGAAGGTGACATATCCGTCTATCAATAAAAGGACGAGTATACTTTGCGGCAGTCCGTTCTGTTTTAATTTACGGCAGCGAAACATGGCCACTAAGGGTTGAAGATACTTGTAAGCTATTAGTATTTCATCACAGATGTCTTAGAAATATTGCTGGCGTGGTAAATCAGTTGATGAGGTTGTGAATCTTCATCGACTGAGATGGTTGGGCCACGTGCTTCGTATGCCTGAACACCGATTACCACGACGTACAATGGTAACCGGTGTTGGAGATGGTTGGAAGAAAGTTAGGGGCGGCCAAACCAAAACATGGCATCAGTGCTTGAAGTCACTAACTTCTAGTAGGTTGTTGCTAATAGTGTCTGACCAACGGATCCAAAGTATTTTATGTAGACAGCTGTTAATAAACACCTGTATCTTCTGGATGATGGCTTTCGTAGTTCTCCAGGTTTCCGCCACATACAGTAGAACTGTCTTGACATTTGTATTGGAAATCCTGACCTTTGTGTTGGTTGACAGTTGTTTTGAGTTCCAGATGTTCTTCATTTGTAAATATGCTGCTCTTGCTTTGCCGATCCGCGCCTTCACGTCTGCATCAGATCCTCCGTGTCCATCAATGATGCTGCTCAGATGTGTAAAGGTTTTTACATCTTCCAAATCTACTCCATCAAGTGTGATTCGATTGTGAAATGCTGTGTTGTATCGGAGAATTTTGTTTTTCCTTTTGTGTATTTGAACTACTAAATCATAAGTATGGATTGGATCTTATTGTATTTAAAAATCTTTTGTAGTGAACTGATCTATGGTCGGTTATTTCAATCGATTGATGATTCTTAGCCGCACCATGTATCCTATTTTCGTTATACGTAATTTGTTTAATGATAATTCCCAAAGTTCGACTCATGAATGGACAATGAGTAACGTGCAAACCACAGTTGGACCGATAATTTGGTTTTATGATACGAGTAAGGATATCTTCGTAAGATTTCGAAACGTGGAAATCGTGATTTTGATTTATTCACTGTCTATATCAACTAACAAAACGTAGAGGCTCGGAAAGTCATTACTCGAAGAATAAGTACAAGTTACGGTGAGACTTACTGTATTCTATACGTCTATCTGGTTGACGAAGAATCTTCAATGAGTCAATAATTTATGGATGACCTCTGAGCGACACTTGAGTGCCTGCCTAGTAACTAGGACCAAATGAGGTTTATAAACCAGGGTGCGGAATCAGAATTACGATTTGCAGTTGATGGTTAAGGTTGGGAATTGGACTTAGGGTTCTCATCACAAACTGACATCATTTATAATCCCAAAACTTTATTTACCCGAATGAATGGGCGAATTTCGCGCGAAAATCTAAGACCTGGTATCTTATACCTGATTGGTTTTCCCATAAATTATAGTCTCGCCCAAGTTATATTTATCTAATAGCTAAAATTTCGACTATTATTTGAAACTACTGATCACCTTGATAAATTTACCTGCGACTTACGCCTGTTACTCCTCGTGAAGGAGCATAGGCCACTCACCAGCATTCTCCATCCAACCCTGTCCTAGGCAATCCTTTCCAGCTCCGTCCAATTGTAATTCATCCTTTTCATATCTGCTTCTATAATCCGACGCAATGTGTTCTTTGGCCTTCCTCTTTTCCGCTTCCCTTCAGGATTCCAAGTTAGAGTTTGCCTCATGATGCAGTTTGATGATTTCCGTAATGTATGTCCTATCCACTTCCAACGTCTTTTCCTAATTTCCTCTTCAACTGGAAGCTGGTTTAATCTCTCCCAGAAAAGGCTGTTACTGATGATATCTGGCCAATGGATGTTAAGTATCTTGTGTAAACAACTCTTTACAAATACTTTTACCTTCGTGATGATGGTTGTTGTAGTTCTCCAAGTTTCAGCTCCATACAGTAGAACTGCCTTGACGTTCGTATTGAAGATTCTCACTTTGATATTGGTTGAAAGTTGTTTTGAGTTCCATATGTTCTTCAATTGTAGGAATGCGACCCTTGCTTTGCCGATCCTCGCCTTTACGTCTGCATCTGAACCTCCTTGTTCATCGATGATGCTTCCTAGGTATGTGAAGGACTCTACATCTTCCAGAGTTTCGCCATCAAGAATTTGAGGAACTTGGTTTTCCCTTTGTGTATGCTGAGGCCTACTGATGCAGAGACTGCTGCTACACTGGCTGTCTTCATCTGCATCTGTTCGTGTGTACGTGATAGGAGGGCTAGGTCGTCTGCGAAGTCCAAATCGTCTAATTGATTCTGAGCTGTCCATTGTATTCCGTGTTTTCCTTCAGATGTCGAGGTCTTCATAATCCAGTCGACCACCAGAAGAAAGAGGAAGGGAGAGAGTAAACAGCCTTGTCTGACTCCAGTCCTTACTTGGAATGCATCTGTCAGCTGTCCTCCATGCACTACTTTGCACTGTAGTCCGTCGTATGAGTTCCGGATAATGTTGACAATCTTCTCAGGAACTCCGTAGTGTCGAAGAAGTTTCCATAATGTCCTCCTATCTACACTGTCGAATGCCTTTTCATAATCAATGAAGTTGATGTATAGTGATGAGTTCCACTCAACTGATTGTTCGACGATGATCCGTAGTGTTGCAATTTGGTCTGTGCACGACCGATCCTTACGGAATCCAGCTTGTTGATCTCGAAGTTGGGCGTCTACTGCATCCTTCATCCGGTTCAGCAACACTCTGTTGAAGACTTTCCCTGGTATTGACAGTAGTGTAATGCCTCTGTAGTTTTCACATTTGCTCAGATCTCCTTTCTTTGGAATCTTGACGAGGTGTCCTTCTTTCCAGTCCATTGGCACTTGTTCCTCCTCCCAAATCTTTTTGAATAGAAGGTAAGCATGCTTGTGGTTGCTTCGATGTCTGATTTCAGTGCTTCAGCTGGTATGTTGTCGGGTCCTGCTGCTTTCCCGTTCTTGATTTGTCTGACGGCCATTCTAATTTCTTCCGTCGTTGGTGGGTTGACATCTATAGGAAGATCTATGTGTGCTGCTTCGATGTCCGGTGGATTCATTGGAGCCGGCCTATTCAGGAGTTCCTCGAAGTATTCTACCCATCTGTTACGCTGTTGTTGAATTTCGGTGATTGGCTTGCCTTCTTTGTCTTTGACCGGCCTCTCTGGTTTACTGTATTTCCCTGCTAGTTTCTTCGTTGTATCGTGAAGCTGTTTCATATTTCCTTCTCTAGCAGCTTTTTCTGCCGTCGTTGCTAGTTCTTCCACGTATTTCTTCTTGTCGGCTCTAATGCTTTCTTCACTTGTTTGTTTGCTTCTATGTATTCAGCTTGTGCTTGAACTTTCTCTGCTCGTGTTCGGCTGTTGTTAATTGCTGCCTTCTTGTTCTTCCTTTCTTTGATCTTGTCCAGTGTTTCTATAGAGATCCATTCCTTATGATGGTGTTTCTTTAGGCCCAGAACCTCTTGACACGTTGAAGTTAATGCTTCCTTGATGCCTTTCCAGTTGTCCTCCATAGTAGTTTCTTCTTCATTCAGTAGATCTTGTAAGGCTTGGAACCTGTTGTTGAGAGCTATCTTGAATTCATTGAGTTTGTCAGTATCTCGAAGGAAGGCTGTATTGAACCTTTGTAGTGCTGTTGTCCTTGTCCAGTTCTTTTTAGCTTCAGTTTTAAATTGGCTACAACTAGGTGGTGATCTGAAGCTACGTCAGCACCTCTCCTGGTTCTCACATCTTCCATTGTCCTTCGGAATTTTTTGTTGATGCAAATATGATCGATTTGGTTCTCTGTAGTGTGGTCCGGTGAGATCCATGTAGCCTTGTGTATACGCTTGTGTGGAAATATTGTGCCTCCTATGACTAATTTGTTGAATGCACACAAATTTGCAAATCTTTCTCCATTTTCGTTTCTCTGTCCCAGTCCATGTCGTCCCATGATATCTTCATATCCGGTGTTGTCTATTCCGACTTTGGCATTTAGATCTCCCATCAGAATAGTTAGGTCCTTTCTTGGCATTTCTCAATGATTGACTGCAGCCGCTCGTAGAACTGATCTTTAATGTCGTCGTTGCTATCATTGGTGGGTGCATAACATTGGATAATATTCATTAAGATCCCCTCCTTCTTTGTTTTGAATGATGCTTTGATGATTCTGGATCCGTGAGATTCCCATCCTACAAGTGCATTTCGTGCTACTTTGGACAGCATAAGAGCGACTCCCTGAGTGTGTGGAGCATTTTCCTCTTCGTGACCGGAGTATAGTATCAGCTCTCCCGTAGCTAGCCTTTTCTGTCCAGCTTGGGTCCAGTGGGTTTCGCTGATTCCCAGTACTGCTAAGTTGTATCTCCTCATTTCCATTGCTATTTGACTGGTCTTTCCGGTTTCCCACATTGTTCGAACGTTCCATGTACCCATAAAGATTGTTGCTCTGGTTGTTAGGAGTGGCATCGGCCTCGTGGCTTCCGAAGGAACTCGGCTTTCACCATGAAGCGTCATAGTTTTTCTAAATGAAGACCTCACTTTCAGGGCAGAGTTTAAGTGTTTTTAATTATTTCTCCTGTTTAGCGTTTTTTTAGTGAGCTAGTTTTCTACGGGATGTGGTCGCTAAGCCCTTGCCCAACCCTCCTCCTTTACCTGGGCTTGGGACCGACAGTAACTCTAGAAGAGCTACAGGCGGAGTTATTGTTGTTGAGCAAATTTTCATAATATAGGAATGTAAAATGAAGACAACTTCATACCATACACCATTGAAGCAAATGTTTCTATGCGATGAATTACGTAAATATGTGGTTGTATATTATATATATATATATATATATATATATATATATATATATATATATATATATATTCGATACAACTTTCACCAATGAATGTTAATGATAGAAATTCGAATAACTACGAAATGAAAATTCT